TTATATCTGGGGTGACCTTTTTGGGAATGGGACCTTTCCTGGCTGCCCCCCGGCATCACGGCAGGGCACAGGATCAGCTCAGATCACCTCTGCCATTGTGCCGCCGTTGTCGCCGTCGACGGGGAGGGCTTCCGTGATCAAAAAAACCCCTTTGGGAACCACAACCTTCCCAATCGGGACATGTTCTCCTCCGGAACCACAACCTTCCCAATCGGGACATGTTCTCCTCTCGCCACCTCCGACCCTCTAATCACAGAGACAACCAGAGACATTTGCCACCATCAAAACATGTAGATCAATTTGACAAAACGTAAATTTATGAAATATTACTAAAATATTGCGCTCGCGGCCTCCGCGCTCGTTACGTCCCGCCCTGTCCGCTGGTTACGTCCCGCCCTGTCCGCTCGTTACGTCCCGCCCTGCCCGCGCGCTACATCCCGCCCTGCCCGCTCGTTAAGCCCCGCCTCTTACGTCTTGTTACGTCCTGGCCTGTCAGTCATTGACGTCCCGCCGTGCGCGCTCGTTACACCCCGCCCCTTACGTCCTAATACGTCCCTGGTGACGTGCCGCCCTGTGCCCGCGCCACGTCCCGCCTTGCACGCCCGCCACGTGCCGCCCCGCCCCTGCCCGCGTCACGTCCCGCCTTGCACGCCCGCCACGCCCGCCCGCGTGTCACGTCAACATTCCGGCGCATCACGTCCCACCGCGAACTCGTCTCGGCGCGCCGGGGTGGATTCAAACAAAATCTTGCCATGCGTGCACCGCAGTCGTGACGAAAGCCGCCTCGCAGGCAGGCGCGCAACCGCGTCCGGCAAGCGCACGCCTCGTTTCGCGCGCCCCGCTCCCGCCCCATTCCCGCCGCCCTGCCTCCCTTCTATTCCTCGTCGCTGGCTACGTCGCCCCGTTCACCGAAGATGGCGAGATCGTCATCCTCGACTTCGTCGTCCTCGCCGTCCTCGCTATCCTCCGCTGCCGCCGCCGCTGTTGTTGCCGCAGCCTCACGCCTCTCCTCCTGCTCTGCCCTCTCCTCTGCCTGCATCGCGGCGACTGCAGCGGGAACGTGCCGTGCCTTCTTTTTTCCCCTCGCTGACCTGGGTTCCGTCCAAGTCTTCTCCCCTCGCGCCACCATATCGCGATAAACAGCGGCTTGCTGCTTCGCATACGCCGCGGCTCCCTCCGCTTCCGCCAATGGGACAACACCGTAGCGTATCCCCTTTGCTCGTTCCTCCCACTTCCGCGCCTCGTATTCGAACGACATCCCCACTCGTTCGTACTCCACACTGAGGAGGCGTTCCTCCTCGTCCCACCGCCGCACGCGCGCCCACGCCTTTGCCCACTCCACGCGCAGAGCTACAACTCGTCAGTGACCATCTTCTTCAGAGGGAAGTAGCGCTCACCTTCCTCCAAACCCGCATCCGTTCCTTCCGTACCCGCAACAGCCCAAATCCAAGAAACCTTCCGCACATTCTCTCCTCCCCGCCCCACGCCTCCACCCTCCTCCCAGTCCATATCTTCGTCCCTTTCCGCAGGTAAGAGCCCATGATCACGAAGCATTTGATGCTTCGCGCGCAATTTCGCCGCCTTCTCCTTCCTCTCCTTTTCCAGCCTCGCCACGTCCTCCGGGTCCTCCATGCACCGTATGTCGTCCCGCTTCAGTACGCGCCACCCGACCAACGACTCGTCCCCGTTGTTCAGACGCCGCAGAGCCTCCCACGCCGCCTGATACTTCTCGGAATGTAGACGGATCTTGCTCTCATTCCGCGCGACGATCGTCTGAGCCCTCGTCTTGGAGCCTTGATGCCGCGTGTGGTTCCCTTTGTACAGCAGCAGCCTCGACTTGATGTGAAGCTGATTGCGCAAACGCACTAGCGCCGTCCGGCACTGGGCGTCGCGCATCATAGACTCGATCTCGGGCAAGCCGGCCACACACGCGTCGCGTTGCGCAAGACTCAACGCGGACGGCAACATCAATGGGACATCCTCGGCCAGGATGTCGTCCGGAAGGTGCTTGTCGCCGAGGACCTGGAGCGCCGCAGGCATGTACGTGCGCTGCAGCTTGCGGAAGCGAAGGATACCCCGGTTGAGCTTTGTACGCAGCGCACTGAGGTCGATCTGCATCTCCGTGGTCCCCGCTTTCTTCAGCTCCGCCTGTACGCGCACTCGCCGCCTGCAGAGAACCATGAGCTTCTTCTTCCTATACAAAGCGCATCAAACACTTACTGCTCTGCTTCTAGGTCCAACCCGGCGAAGATGAAGGAGCTCGGGCTGACGTCGTGCAGCGAGGGCACACCCGCGACCACCTCCTTTGCCTCTTCGTCGGCAAATTGGAGCCGAACCTCTGACTCGGTCAGACCTATTCACATAGTCAGCGCGTTGTACTTACCAAACAAATTTCAAACACACCTGTAACGACGACCTCGTAAGGGTTAGGTTGGTCGCTATCGGCTTCAAATGCCAGCACCGCTGCTTTCCAATCCGGGACGCGCTCCCTCTGCTCCGCCGAGAACGTCTCGAACGCCTCCCGCTGCGCTGGCCCCTCCGCCTTGGCTCGATCCATCCGGCGGCGCAACGACGCGTAGATCCCGACTAACTTCACCCAGTTCCAAAAAGCCCAGTGGCAATCGAGGACATCGTGTCGAGAGCCCGGGCCCATATCGAGCGTGTTGGACGCTACGCCGCCGATATTCGCCCAGCTACGCTCGATCGCCTCGCCGTCGACCTGAGCTGCGCCGACCAGCAGAGTGAGTGCAAAGAGAATTTGGCAGGCCAGCGTATGGGAATGAATGTGCATTTTCGGAATCACAAACTGCATCACGCCAATGATGATCGTGAATCGTACGTTGGCGGGAAGAGCTTTGAGGCGGTCGAAGATGAATTTTGCCCAGATGCAAGCGATGTCGTAGGAGGTGATCTTGTGCAACGTGGGTTCCTTGTGCGTCAGGATACTTGCGTAGATGTAGTCCATGTTCGCGAATCTGTCCTTCTTTAGCGCGTGCAGCGACGATAACCAGGAAGAACTCACCGCTCTCCCTTTTGTAAGTCGCCCACCCCGTTCGCCTGCACGAACTCGTGCCGCGCACAAACTCCCATACCCACGCCGGTGGTACTATATCCCCGCGAGAATTTGGTGTTTGCATAATCCAGCGCGGCCAAACCGCTGCACGTATTCATCTAGAAGAAAAACTAGCGTTAGTTCGTCCACTAGAATGAGATAAAAGCTGCCTACTTCTTTCTGGTCCGTCACACCACGCAAGTATGCCCGATACGGCTCCGTCTCGACCATGTAGGCCCACCCAGGTCCCAGATCCGGGTCTTTGAGCTCACTTGACACGAGGCGACGTTTCAGACGGAAACATGCATCGAGCGCAAGAAAAAGTGTGTACAAAAATCTGGCGCGCGACGTCAACCGGCGAATAGAAACGGGACGGGTGCACGGACGTACCTATCCTCTGGGCTCGCGTCCTCCCAGCCCTCCGGGAGATTGACGCCGGGACGGGGACACGCCGGGCACTGGATGGCCAACTCCCCCCTCCCCGTCGCAGCGGGCCCGCCAGTCGCATACGACGGAGCACGGCCCCCACGCTTCAGCAGCATGAGGTGTCGATACTCGCGACACATGCGGATCCATTCGTGATAGCGGTCGGGGGGCTTGATCCCGGTGTTGTCCGTCAGCTTTTCGAGTACGCCGTAAAAGTCGTACATTGTAGTTTTCGCCTGCAGAGTCTCCAGATGGTACTTCTCGAGAACGACCAAGGTCGCACACGTCTGCGGCCGCTCATGTGTAGCGGGGAACCAGCCAGCGCGTAGTAGTTGTATATCCGGCGGCCCTGCCATCAACTCGTTCTCGCATCCGCAAAAGTCTACCGCCACCTCATGGATCCCGTTCTCGTGGAGCACGACGAAATTCTTGTTCGCGGCGATGGGCACGCTGCAGGTTTTGCGCACGCGATGGCCAACCTGGACGCGCAAGCCTAGTGACGCGAGCGATACTTTGACAAAAGTGCCGCCAGACCATTTCTGTGAAAACGTGGCATGAGCCTCGTCTGTGCGTGCAGAAAAGAGGAAGATAACTTACACGAACGCGGTGGAGGGGGTTCTCGCGGTGCCGGTCGACGATGCAGGCCTCACAATACAGCAAGTCCCCGAAACACTCTTGGCAGCGGAATCGCGGGGGCCGAGTGCTAGCCCCCGCGCATCCTGGACAGACGTCACGGTTCGCGTCCAGGGGCCCGCTCCTGCACATCAGGATGGAAAGAAACCAGTCTCGTTTCTTTGCCATCCAAGAAGAAAGTGAGGGGTCCTTCGTCGCGGCATCAGTTGCTGAAAGAATCACTGCCAGCAAAAAAAAACCCTACCGAAGGCTTCACTCGCTGCTTCGTGGCTCCCGGCGTCTGCGAATTGTTTGCGGGAAAAGTCGGCAATGGAGGATCGTCCGATTCGTCGTCAAAGCCAATCTGGTAGCGCTCGAAGGCATGCGCCGTCCAGTCATCGCCCGAATTGAAGGGAATAGGATCTGCAGGCACTTGACGCTCCATTCTGGTTGCCAGCCTAAGTCGTTTAACGGGAGAGGGAGGGGCGATAGGTAGCTCTTCGATGTACAGCCGCCTGTGGTCCTCTGAGACTCGGTGAACGAAAGTCGGCACCGCCTCCTCTTCAGCGGCCAAATCGGCGAGAGTGAAGGTGTGACTATGGCTGCTGCCCGCAGCAGAGGAGGCGTTGGGTAGCGTGGGCTCGGTTCGCTTGCGCTTGTTGCGTGGCATGGCCGGGGATGCGAGACGCGTAACACAGAAAAAGTTTAGTGCCGATAAATCCGACCGCGTCGGATACACGACACGTCGCACGTGCTGCGCGTTATCCAAGCACGAGCACTACGAGTCTGAGCTCAGATGGATAAAAAAGGAACAGAATTTTATTTTCCTCTTTACAAGGAACACAGCTACTAACGAAGGGAGGCCTCAGTCGAAATGAGAATGACTGGCGTAGAAAAAAAATGCAAAAACTAACCCCGCTCAGAATCGAACTGAGATCTTCACGAGAGCAAAGCTCAACGAAATACTTACTCTTGCGTGGCGCACTACCATTGTACGACAGAGTCCTTGCATGCTGCTATGAAGAAAGGACAGTGACCTTCTCAGAATCGACCCAAGGCAGTCAGGTTCTACAAAAAGAAATCTAAGCGGGGTGAACGAAAGAAATGAAGGTGCCGCACCTTACTGGCTTAAGGAATGTACAGCATGGCGTACTACCATTATACTACGAGGTCCATTTACATGACCTTGCTCAGGGAAATCCCATGGAAATTTACGACTTCAAGGAAATATCCGAAGGAAAATCTGTGGACATCGCACGTGATGTCACAAAATTACAACGAAATTCAGATATTCCGTGTACGACTTCAAGGAAATATTGCGTGACCTAGTGGTACTATAATGTACAGCATCGCGTCGAAGCTGCCAAAAAAAAAACGCGTTAGTACGGTGGCGGGTGGCATTTGCCTCCGCTAACACTTTCCCATGCCGATTGCGCTGAGGGGTCCCTGGTTTGAGTCCGCCAAACCAGCGCAACCAACAGGTAAAGTGGTAGCAAAGGAAAAAAAAGGAGAACTTACGGATGAGAAGACCGCGTTTTCAACGCGTTCTCAGCGGTCGTGCACGCGATGGAGAGCGTCTGCCCGCTCCCTCGTCCTTCTCCGCTGGAGTGAAGCTTCCGACCCCCAACGTCGCCACCAACCCGACATGGCTCGCCGACCGCCAAAGACATTAATGATAAAAAACCATCACTTGGCCAGGAGTCGAACCCGAGAACTGCCGGACATATTAGTGCAAATGGATCCGTGACTTTCGAGCAGTGCACACCATGCGCTACCAAGTGGTTCCTACAAGACAAGAATGTTTCATTAGGTTGGATAGAAGACTGGGCAAGTTCTGTGAGACGCTGTGAGATTTGTTGTCGAAGGCCGGAGAAGAAAAATGGCACACACAAGACGGATTTGACGACGCCAACCGCATGCAGCGCGCCCGCGGAGAAAGAAAGGGTGTAGGAGAGGCCGTTGACCGCCAAGAGGTGGATGATCCCGCCGGTGTTGTTAGCCTGGCGGGCGCTGTCAGCGCGCCTGAAGAAAGACAAAAAGGGAACTCACAGAATCCGGAACTGACAGTCGCATGCAATTGTCGTACACGCGACTTTCTTTTCGAATCCATCCTAGAGCGGAGCGGCATATACAGCAAAAAAGTATCTTTCTGAGGGAGTCAGGATGGAATTTGGGGGCCTTCGGGGTATCTTGCGGCGATGGCGCGTTGAGCCTTTGGTAAGCATCATCATCATCATCCGGGGGACACCCAGCAGAGCTCGGCGGAGCAGTCACAAGGGGTTTCCACCACGGCGAAGAGAGCCCAACATCTTGCGGCGTTGGCGAGAGGCTCGCGTTGAGCCTTCGATGAGCATCATCGCCATCCGGGGAACACCCAGCGGAGCTCGGCGGAGCAGTCACGAGGGGTGTCCACCACGGCGACAAGAGCCCAGCGCGATGGCGAGAGGGAGAGTTTGTAGTTTTGACAATTTCCACCGCCTTGTCCACCGATTTTCCTCCGCATCACGTGGTTGGTGCGCCAAGCCGAGGGCTGCCGCACTCCAGAGTCCCACGACACTGAATCGTTATTCAACGCCCAAGTACGACTACAACACCAGGTCGGCCATAGGAAGCTCGGGGTTAGCGTGAAATCTCTTGCCGGCTCTCCTTGTAAAATTTTGAAAACCCCGTCGGCAACATAAATCGGCTGAACGAAAATCTCCGCAGAACATGTTGTGCCTCGTATCGTACGAGGAAAATGCACTTTCAAATGGATTTCGAGCGAGGTGTGCGCCAGAATGCAATTTTATCATCCACACTCATTCCACATTGACATATGTCAAGACATCGCCACCTGGTCGAAAAATCGGTAACTTTGCTCAAGCAGTTTGCATCGTGCGCAGCGACTTGGAACCGGCTGAATCCAAACTCACCAGCTCCTCCCTTACCGAGGTTTTTTTTCAAGGGATATGAAATAGACCTTGGTCCTATGTCACTCGGCTCTCTAAATGGCAGCCGCCATGTTCTGTGGATCTCCACCAAGCAAATCCATTCCTCTACCACGAACTGCCCATATCGGGACAACACAGCCACGACCTGCTTTTGGCAGCCACAACGCTCATCACTTCATTCCGTCCTTTTCGGTGCGGAAATGGAGGCGCTATGTTCAACTTTCACATTCGCATGTTCCTTCTCTCCCGCCGACCTCGCTGTATCCGCTGCCCCTACCTACACCTCCTCCTTCTCTGCGAGCCCAATCAAGATCGCCGGACCGCGAGCCGAAGCACAAGCCCGGTACCGCGCACGCAATCCCGAACGTGAGCTGGAAAAAGCGCGCGGCCGGATGAAACGCCTACGAGACGAGAGGCTCCGACGTCGCGAATCCTCTGAATACCTTCGTGCTACGTGAGTGCATCGAAACTAAACAGCCCAAGCCGAGCTGATGTCTAACCGTCGCGTGCAGTCCCCTCTTCAAACGTTATAGACTCCACGTACAGAAGCATCGCAAGATTATCTACGTAGACAACGCAAATCCTGCGTTGTTTCGTGCACAGTGGGCCCGTTTTCAAGAGAAGGGAGGTCCGCCATTTGACCGCGACGACGCCATCTTCATACTCAGGCATGCTGCCGAGAACCCACCCGGCCCACACCCCAGTGAAGAGGAGATTGGGAGGCGTTTAAGCGAGCTGAATCGGTGCACCTTGGTCGCGGCCATCGTTCCGGACGACGACGAAGGGGAGGCGGCGTGGGAGAGGATCTCGCACGAGGGCGATCTCAGTGACGATGACGTGGAGTTCTTGTTTCGGCGGGCGGTCCCCGAGCCAACGCTGGAGGGGATGGAGGCGTGCACATGCCGTTGATCTATCTTGGTTCCTTATTTTTTTTGGTCGCTTGGTCGTGGTGGGTGGTACAATCAATCAACGAAATTTTCAGCAAGGTACAATTTTTTTTTTCTACGCTACTGCCCGCCAGATTCAGTCTACGGCCTCAAATCTATACTTGCGACCCAAAACGCAGTCAGTGGCGACGAGTTTCTGAAGAGAGGGAAGATGTCAGAGGTGTGTCTTCCTGTTCTCAAGCCGCAGGCGTACCTTCTGGGGCGGCGCGCGATGCGTGGGGCAGCTGCATCTCTTGCGTTTGGACACTGCGTCCGCCTGGGGCTGTGGGCGCTGGTTCCCGCCGGCGAGTCGTGCGAGCAGCACAGCGTCGGGGGTCGGGGCGATTCTGCGGGTGACGCTGCGCAATGGCGGCAGCCTCCTTGGAGCTGGGGAGGTCGTGCAAGCGCGTATGGGGTGAGCTGGCGCCGAGATGCACGTGTGCGGGTGGTTTGGACGCCCGAGGTGGGGCGGAGACAATGGGTGAGGGACGACCTGGAACGAAAGTGTAGACGGGGTGCGCGTCGCTGAGTTCCATCGGGCCGTCGTAGGTCGGGAGATTGGTGGGACGAGACTTGCGCTCCGAACGACGGCGCTGCCAATCCGCCCAAAACGAGCGGGATCGCAAGATGGGGGCTTTTTTTTTTGCTTGCGGGCATGGTGATGGTACGTTGGCAAGTGACTTTTTGCGTTGCTGACTCTATAATAGGTTCGTCGCGGATCAATACCCCAGAACGTAGCCCAGGAACAACTTCAATTTGACACCCGAAACCGAACCCACACCCATGCAGCCTACCTCACTGTGCACCGCTTTCAGCAGCAAGCCCCCAGCCGCGCCCTCCAACCCTCGCGCCGAGGCACAGGCGCGCTATCGCGCTCAACATCATTCTGTCGAAAAGTCCAAAGCACGCGAACGTATGGGCCGCCTACGCAAAGCGCGCCGAGAAGACGCCGAAAACTTACGGCGGAAGCAGTCATCGGACACGCTGCGAGGAACGTAAGTTCTAGCCCTTCACCCCGCCTGCTCATTGCTGAAAGGACATGCAGCGAGTTTTTTGCTCTTTATCGTCGGCACGTCCGCACCTGCCTCAGTGCGGTGCTCTCCAATCCGGAGGCAGCAAAGGATCGTTGGGATGGACCGGGGCGGAAGCTGTCCGCGGACGAAGTGGCAGCATCCCTCGGCGATATCCGCCTCATTTTCAAGTTCACCGACGAACGCGCCGTGGCGTCCTTCGACAAATTAATTGCCGCTGGGGCGGATCTCGATGACGACGATGTCGAGTTCATGCTCCGCCATGCCATGCCCAAGCCCACCTTGAAAAATCTGATTTGTTGCACGCCGTCGCTGTAGATACCACGCGTGTTTATAATTAAATAACAAGTTACATTTTTTGGGTCAACGTGACGAGAAGACAAGAAGTTTGAGTAACTACGCGAAAGAGATTTTGGTGTTGGAAGGTATCAGGGGGTCTGGTCGAGGGACGGGAGTTGGTAATAAAATAACAAGTTACATTCGGGGAGTCAACGTTGACAGACAAGAAGGCAGATTCCGGTCTGGAAGGTGTCAGCGGGTCTGGGCGTGTCGAGCGGCGGAAACGCGCACAATGAGTTTGGCTACGCGTGTGCGGCACGCTCACGAGCGAGACGCGCTTGGTGAAAGTAAGATCGGATTCGCTGCGAATATGGGATGAGATCGTTCAACGACGCGCGAAAAATCAAGACTCACCACGTTCGTACGGGCGACAACGTAATCACGCTGAATACGCTCGGCGGTGGATAGCTCGAATAGATCGTCGTCAAAGGCCATGCCGGGGTACGGCTCCTCCTCGATTGGCAAGCGCCATGGGAAGTTTTTCCAGTACTGATCATAAAGAGCGGGGATAAAGATGTGAAGGCGGCCTCGGTACATCGCCGTAAGGTACGCGTCGAAATGAGATGCCAGCCAGTCGAGGCGTGCGCCTTGGAAGCGGAACGGCGGGGGAAGTGGGGGGCCTCGAGAGTTTTTGCTTTTCCCTTTCTTGTGCGAGCGCTGGGCGGGCATCGTCGGATGAATAAGTGGATGCAAATTGAAAGTAAACAAGCGGGGATTCAAGAAAAAGTCGCTACTTCGATTCTTTATATACAAACTGGCACGTAAACACTTCTCAGTCT